GGGCTAATCTAAACGAATAGTGGGATTGACCGTTACTTTGTGAAGCTTACCCACAGCTGAAAGAGCAAACATGTTCGGTGATGGGATTCGAACCCGTGATTCGCTAACTACCAGGCCATCTAAGTCCTTGTTTCGAGAAATGCCTCAAGAAAAGGTTGTGTTATTGCTGTGTTAAGTACCGTTTACAGGGTGGATATTGCTGTGTTAAGTACCGTTTACAGGGTGGTTATTGCTGTGTTAAGTACTGTTTACAGGGTGGATATTGCTGTGTTAAGTACTGTTTACAGAGTGGTTATTGCTGTGTTAAGTACTGTTTACAGAGTGGTTATTGCTGTGTTAAGTACTGTTTACAGGGTGGTTATTGCTGTGTTAAGTACTGTTTACAGAGTGTTATTGCTGTGTTAAGTACTGTTTACAGAGTGTTATTGCTGTGTTAAGTACTGTTTACAGAGTATTATTACTGTGTTAAGTACTGTTTACAGAGTGGCTATTGCTGTGTTAAGTACTGTTTACAGGGTTAACTTAGTACAAGAAGTGTTTTAGAACTAATAGCCTGTAAATGTTTGATTGGTCTCCGGTGGTTCAATGGTAAGCTTGAGTGCTTATAACACTAAAGTTTTGGGTTCGACTCCTGTGGTAAACAAAACATAGATAGCCCATAATAACAAACAAACAGTTGTTTAATTTTGTAAGTTCAACTTAATAACAAACAAACAGCTGTTTAATTTGGCAAGTTCAACTCCTCAAATTGAAGATCAGTAATGTCGTCATTCAGTTTCTCTGAAGGCCGTTATTCTTCTTCTTAAATTTGTGAAATTTGAGATTTTTCAAGACGTTCATCCAAAAGTCATTCAGTTTCTCTGAAGGCCGTTATTCTTCTTCTTAAATTTGTGAAGTTTGAGATATTTCAAGACGTTCATCCAAAAGTCATTCAGTTTCTCTAAAGGCCGTTTCTTTCTTTCTTCTTCTTAAATTTGAGAAGTTTGAGATTTTTCAAGACGTTCATCCAAAATGTTGACTGTCGACTTTTTTATGTTTAAAACCGGTTTTTATTTTAAAATCGAAATAAAATTCAACCTAATATACACTTAAACTGAACACAATGGATTTTATTTCACAGATAAATGTAGACACAGATTTTCTTCTTATTTGAACGGACAATCTGTTACGCTGATTCTGATCTCTGGATTAGAATTGATTAGAATTTTTACGGTCTTTTGTCAAAAGAATGATTTAAACAGGATATTTTTTCGGTAGGTTTTTCATTGTTGTTGTTCGGCAGCTGACATCTGAAATGTACGATTATTTACGAAGGATTAAAGCGGTCTGAATTATTTGAATAATGATAGTTTTTATTGATCTTTTATAGTCAATGAATTGTTCACGGATTAGAACGGTTGACAGAAAAATGTTTCTTTGGCCGCTTTTCATTCTTTATACAGGAGTGTGTTGGCTGTCGGTCAGTCAGTCAGTAGTCAATAAGATGATATCGCATAAGGAACGCTTAACGTTTCAATTTGTGCTGTCGTGACGTCAGTAAAACGTGCGCTCGCCATGAATCACGAGAAGAATTATGCACTCTGTAGGCTACAACGCAGCATGGTATATGAACTTCAAAAACAAGAAACAAGAATATTTGTTACTCTTAAATTTGGTTTTTCTTTACTCTTGAAACAGAACTCTTTTTTTTTTTCGGGACCTTGCGGAAGTACATCTAGTATTGTATGTATACTTATATTGCGAGTTTCGTTAGTCCAACGCTTGGTGACGCTGCTGTAAGTATGAATTTTGTTTGTTTGTTTCTTTGGAATTAAGCACAAAGCTACACAATGGGCTATCCGTGCTCTGCCTACTACGGGTATCGAAACCCGGTTTCTAGCGTTGTAAGTCCGCAGACATACCGCTGTGCCACTGAGGGGCTTATAACGTTAAAAATTGGGTTTCCTCACCTGCGGTGGGGAAAGTACAAATGGCTCGGTTAAAAAACCAAACAAGTCGTTGATTTAATGTATGATTTGGATTTAACGAAACCAAGTCATTGGTTTGTTTCGGATGTTCGCTCACAGCTAAACAAAGGCTGTCTGTCCCAAACTGCGGAGAAAAATTTGATTTTGGATCAACGAGATACGAACCGTGTACCCTCGTATCCATTGTGAGGCACAGTAACCATTAGCTACGGACGACTCCATAAACGTTTTGAATTAATATCGTTCTAAATTCGTTTTAAACAGTAAGGTGGTAAAACAGTAAAAGAAGAAAAAAAATTAAACACGGAACAGAAATGTTCATATTACTAATTCGTAGATAGGTTGTCTTAGCACAGCGGTATGTCTACGGATTTACAACGCTAGAACCCGAGGTTCGATACCAGTGTTGGGCAGAGCACAGATAGCCCATTGTGTAGCTTTGTGTTTAACTACAAACAAATTGTTGTAGCTAAATGGGGAGCTAACAAACTTTGTTATAACT